GCAATCCCTACCACATATTAAATTCTGAACAACACAAAGATACAGTTTATTATAACATTCTGTAACAGCAGAAAACTGCAAATAACTATATATTAATAAAGCACTTAATTCATAATTAAACATTAATAGGGCATTTGATAATTCATTGTAAATCAACACAATGAAATATTTATACAGATGTTTAAAAGAATGTGATCTATCTAAAAGTACAGGAAAAAAATCTCCAGGATAAGTTATTAAGTACAAAAAGGCAAGATGCAGAACATTATATATAAGACACAGTGTACGAGGAGAAAAAAAAGACTACATATGTATTAATTTTTCTTATTTTCTGCATGGATACATAAGAAACAGGAGTTATATCTGGAGAGTTAGACTAATGGGTCAGAGCTGAAGAAAAGATTCTTAGTTTTTATTTTATAACCTTTTGAGTTTTTACCATGTGCGTGTAAATTTTATAACAAAATAAAATAATCAATTGGCACACAGTGAGTATTTCATAAGTGTTATATGAATAAATAACTAGAGAGGTTTCCGCAAATAGATATGGGGATAAAAGCCAGTTCTGAAGCAACTACAGAGAAATGATGGTGAAAGAGTGGATCCAGCAAAGGTAAACCATTTGCAGCAACCATTACACATTGCAGATTGACTCTCCAATACGCTTCCCTCCCAGATCCAGGGTCAGGTTCCAAACTGCCTAAACCAGTATATGATAATGCCATCTCTTTGCCACATGACTCCTTCAGGGACTGCCAGCCCTAAGTCAAAGATCTGGAAGTGCTTTGGAAAATCGAAAACATAATAGGGAATGAACAAGAGATTAATGAAAGCATTGCAGCTAATCAGCAAACTTCTGTGACTCTCAATATCATTACTTAAGTGGCAGGCAAGGGGAAGGCACAGACCAACCACACAATGGATGTTACCCAGAATTAGAGCAGAAGGCTGAGAAAAATAATATTAGGACACTATCAAAGGCATCAGAGAAATTCCTGATTATAAATAAGTTTGAGACTGGATACAGACAGACCTAGAAGAGATGTAAGGAAACGAGGGAATAAGAAAACATATCCATGTATCTGGGGGGAAGAAAGAGGGTGGTAAAGGACCAGGTGTAACGATGAGGGTAAACAGCATATTAGTTAGTAGAACAAGAGTCACAGAGAGGGTTCTATCAACCAGAAGACTAGCTCTGCTTGTGAAATCTTGGGAGGAGAGCAATTCCTAATAATGAGATCCTAAAAGCTGAAGTAGAGTGCTGACGTGTTGTTGAAGTTGAGGTGGTTGAGAATAATAAGGCTCATGTTGGATGGGCCAACATGAATAACAATGAAGATAAAGTTTTCAATGACATGCTCAGTTCTCTTCATCTTTGCTTGTGGTAAAGTTAGAAAAAGGGTGGTATAATTAGACGATCTGATGTCAAGAGAGAAGAGGTTATTTACTGATGCTGATAATGTTCAAAATCTCTGAGTTGAGCAGATCTAGGTTCCTATCCAATGAGGTCAATTCTTAAAAATATGCCCTTGAAGTAACAGTTATTTAACTTCTCTAGACATTGTTTTATCAACTGGAGTACTCACTTTAGATGGTTATTGTAAAGATTACTTGAGATAATGCATGTCAAGTGTTAACCAGCGCTACTTTTCCTAACAACGGTCAAGAGGTAGCACTACAGAACAAAGTCCTAAGCCAACTGCCCCTTTTTGCCTAGTAAGTTAGAACAAAGAGGCAACGAAATAGAAGAAGGTATAGATGCCTGTAAGGGATGCCCTGTATCTGGGGAAAGACAGCTTTTAGTCAAAGTGAAGCATCAGAAGGAGTGCTGGATGAATATAGACGAATTTGCTCCCAAAGAGGCAGAAATCCATGAGTATTAATGGAGTCATTATTGCCCTAAAAACTTTCAAATCTAAACAATACATCTTCCTTTAAGTTACAACAGTAGAATGTGAAATAGCAGAGTTACACCACAGATAAAATGAAACTAGGAGAAAAGTCAGCCAACATAATACAAAGGCAATATTGGCTGACCAGTAAAGAAAACTAGAAAAATTGGCACATTTCTAAATTTACTGATGCAAATTTACAGATTATAATCTCTTTCTCCAATATAACATGGGTAAAGTTATCCAAATCATGGTAACCTAAAGTGCTACCAAAAATCAGGCTACTCTATATCTCAAAATGCAAAAATTGGTAATAGTTTATTTTAATTTTCCAAAGTTTTTTTCTTTCTAATCCAAGTAACCCATGTTCATTTTAGAAAATTGGGACGTATGAAAAAGTATAAAGTTACAAGGGAAAACGTTAATCCTACTACTCAGAAATAATCACAACATTTTGCATAGCCCTTGCAGTCTTTTGAATGCAGTTTTTCATATATCATAAGATTATATTGCATATTCAACGTTGTGTCCTACTTTATCACATAATATTATGTCATAGCACTCTATTTGCTTTACTGCTAAGAGTTACTAAACTAACAGTGATAACTTTCTCTATAAAGGCCTTTATGGTTTGGATCAAGTTATTTTAGTAATAAATATTCTCCTTATGTAATTTCACAAGATCAACTTTTAGTCCCAGGACCACATGCAGCTTTTCAGAACTTCATGTGCAACTCTAGAAGCTAATATAAAGGGGGAAAATGCCATTATATACTTGATTTATGCAACAAGTTATGCTGCTTTCAAAGTAGATTTCATAGATACAAAAAGGACCAGTAATTTAAAAAATTGCACTCCCATTTCTAGAAATAAAGCTGGTTAATTTTCCCATTCCACTTTTGGTCAGGTGGTCACTAAGATGATCTGACACCAATTATTTATCCATGTACATGTTGGTGAGCTACAACAACTGGAGAGGGCCTGCATCCATGGATTTTTTTTCCCTCTATACAAAGAGGTCTGAAACTAAATTTAATTACCTTTTAAAATAAAATATAAATTTTACTTTTATTAAATGGATGATGAAATAGTAATATATGTATAGTTCGATATTTCTCATTTATTTCCTTTTTGATGTTTTAAATATTCTGAAATTAAATGATGTGCTACTGGCTGGAAACTTTTAGTTTTCATTTTTTAAAGAGTGAATAGAGCCTTATAATGTTACAATTGATATGATATAAACATCTTAAACATACTACGAAGACAAAAATACCACAGAATTCAGAACACCAAATTATGTTACTATTTGAACATAGTTTTTTCTTAACGTCTCTAAACCCCAAACTTGCATGCAAATTTTTTCTATTCTTTAAGACTACAATGTCAAAAAAGTTAACTAGGAGTAACTTTTTTTAGTTACTTTTGTAAACTAAAATGAACAAAAATATTTAAAACAATTCCAGAGTAAAAACAATTGAAATGTTTTAAACACTTCACCACAAAAAAAAAACTATTTAAAATTTATCATAAATCTATATTCTTACATCTTTATGCCAAAGAACCCAAAGTTCAAGATCATATGCCAAGGCAGTCTAATCAGCATTGCGAGGTAGGCCCTCCCACTTGACAGAGGCAAGTAATAGTCTTAGACCTCAGGCTCTTTCACCATGAATTTTAAGAACTTTCATCTAACTCTAAAAGGTACATCAAGGGTTCATTAAAATATCATTAGAACACCTTGTAAAACCACTAAACAGCAAATATGTCTTCCTCAAGTAATCAAAACTGAAAGAATTGTGCATTCATGTGAAAACTGGTGCTACCTTTAGAACTGTGGAAAACTAATAAATTTTTTGTAAGTATCTCCAAAGTGGGTGACATTTTTTTGTAGCCCAATATACGTAGCTCAAATAGTGGTTACATTGAAGTTTGGCAGATTGTGTGTTTGTATCTTGTTACTGTGCTTCTGTGTCACCTGTTCTCTTGCACCACATGGAGCCTGCCCTTCTCAAACTAGAAAAGAATTCATAGGTTTTATTGAGAGGGAGAATGGGGCACTCTTAAGAATTCAATTCCCAACTAGCTATTTTTTTAAGCAAAGATTAGAAAAAACTAGTACCAAGGCTTTTTTTTGTTAATTCTGAGTATAATCTTGCTAAATGGTGTTATCATTAAGACTCTCAAACTTTTACAGGAAGATAACCACAATATCTTAACAAGTCAACCAATTTTCAATTAAAAAGGAATCCTGGTGTGGTAGAAAGTGCAAGAATTAAGAAAAATCAAGGAACACTTTCTAGATCCTGCTGAGACATCCTAATTCACTTATCCAAAGGGCTTCAGGTTCCTCATGTAAAAAATGACTGTATTAGATCTCCGTGGATTTACTTCTAGCTCTAAACAAACATTGCCTTTCCCTAAGTCCACGGTTAGCTTCCATAATTCACAATGGTATGAGCGGAGAAGGTAGGATAATTCTGGCCACAATTTTGAGGATGTTGGATGTGTTTTGGTTAATAATTTGACAGAAGTGCCATTACTCCTCATTTACAGAAAGGAGTAAGCCCGCCTCGCTAGTCAAGGGTGACTCAAACTTTGGCAGAATGACTTACCGCCTGGCTTGCATAGGCACCACTTGTTTAAGACCATCCACCCGGTTAAGGTGGTTTGTTTAAATCAGGCCTTGCTGCCCAAGGGTGCGCCCACCCAGGGTGCACCCTGCGGGCGCTGGAAAACCAGGGATCGCCGGGGTGAGTGCCGGGTTGCCCCCGGAGCTGCGACCTCCAAATATCTCCGGAGCCCGTACTCCAAAGAAGCATGACCAGGACCCAAATACTCCCTTCACCCCAAGCTCTTCTTCACCCCTTCCTAGGCCCCCAAAAGGACATAAAAACTGCACATCTGGAGGAGAAAAGGTAATGGGGAGAAGTAGCGGCGTGAGTGGCGGCCGCAGAAGAGGCCAGGCCGTTACGACCAACCAAAATTATGGTTTTTAAGCCCCAATCCAACCGCAGCGCCTCCCATGAAAAGACCTCTTCGGCCGTCTGGGCACGAGCAGAGGGTGTCCAGAGAAAGGACAAGGGGTAGGAGGCACAAGGTCCTTACCCGCTGCAAGGCTGGCGGCTGGCGGCTGCAGCCGGCGGCTCCAGTACCGGAGGCCGGAGGCGGCCCCTCGGAGCCGTAAGGAGGCTGCCATGCTGCCTCCGCCCCGCCTCCCCGCGACGACCTCCGCCGCCTCCCGGCTGGCCCACAGACTGCGAGTGTGCGCAGCTGGGCGAGCGTGCACGGCCGCGGCGTGCGGCCGCGCGCGCACGCGCTCTCGCCAATTGTGGGGCGGGCGCCCATCCTCCAGGGGCGGAGCGAAGCGCCGAGAGGCGCGGCCCGGCGGAGCAGGTCCCGTCAATCCCATTACGGACGGGGAAGCCGACCAATCAGAACTCCCATATCCGCGGCTTACGTCATGTACTCTGGCCACGCCCCCAAGCTCCCTCCTCATTTACAGCCCGCGGTCAGGTGTCTCCCTGTTTACCGAATTGCGGAGGGCGTGTGGGGGGCGGTGGCTGCCGCTCACTACAACCTCCTTGGAGCATGGATTTCCCAGAACCGCCCTTCGGAGGGTTGTAACCACGTGTTTCCTCCTTGCACTAAAGGACAAAACTGACTCGGGGCTTGAAAACCAATCACAGAAATCTACCATGTATAATAACTTTTAAATTCATTTGATTTTACTTAACGGTTTCTCAGTAAAGTTGAAAATTAGTAGGAAAACAAATTGATAACATTATCTTTGAAGGGTAGAATTACTAGGAATTGCACTATTCCAGGACATATTTCTCTAACGTTTGAAAATTAGTCTGAATCCATTTTGTAAGCAAAATCTTAAGGTAAACTAAAATCCGAAAAGTAGTGTATATGTATGTATGTTTGTTAGAGAGCCAGATATTTATTCATTCTTCTGTCGGTGTTTGGTGTACATATTTGAGTCTCTGAACCCCTTGGGGATAATTCCAGGGCTCACCAAGTCCACTGACTCCGCCAAAGGGTGGGGAGCTATGAGCACACCAAAGTAAGACTTGCAACCTTTGGAAAACGCTAGTACAGGAGGAAAGAGTGAGGAGTACCTAGGGGAAATGGGAACGCCAGGGTTCCATCCCCCCCCAAATTTATTTTATTTATTCATTTGCCTAGGGTTGTACTCACCAACCTTTTAATCTAAGTAACAGCATCAACGAATTTGACTTTGACTCTTTTTCCCTCTGCTCAGTAATCCATGGAGTTGGAAGCGGCTAAAGGGAAAGCAAAGGAATTGGATAATTTTTAAATGGGTTATGTCATGGTTCTGGGCAAACTAGCAGTGTTTCCAGGAACCAGTATAGAGTGCAAGGTCACCATCTGTAATTGGTAGAAAAATAATTCTCTTCTTTGGCTGTCGTTCCACCCCAACCCTCTACCAAAAAAAGGAAGGAAAGGGAGGGAGGAAAAACTCATTTCAGCTATTGGACAATCTCCTAGATTTGGTTCCCTATCCCTAATAAGACTGTTAATTGGCTCTGGAAATTTCCTACCAGTTCCTCTCCTCTTGGTTTCCTTAGGTTTTAGCTGGAACAGACCTCCTGCAACCCATAAATGTGGCCCTACAGGTTCCTATAATTAACTGCTGAAGTGCAGCCTGCCTTTCAACTATGTCAACCTACATAACAGAGCTATTTACAACACAGGACAACACATCAATTGATCTCCCCAGCTCTTAGAGAGTTTATATCCCAGTCTTCTTGAAATTTTATATCCAATCAGATTGCTTTTGTCATTTTTATTGTAAGCTACTGTTTTTGTTTCTCTAGGTTGTTTATGGGGCTCTTTCCTTGCAAATGAATATTTCTTTACAAAAGGCTGCCTCCTGTCAACAGCATTCTCCTAGGACTAGAAGGGAAGAAAAAGGAAAGGGGCTCAAAAGGAGAAGGCAAAGTTAAAGCTGGGCATGAGATCTTTTCATTTTAATTTTTTTTAAACTGATGGTGATAGCTTTGAAAAGGGAATGGTATTGAGAGTTTGATTCCTTTTGCTCAACCGTGACCAGGGGATGTCACAATTTCTCCATATCTCTATATCATGTAGACTAATGTCTCCCCCTGGAAGCCCTATATTGATTCATAAATTAAGGAATTTTCATAGAAGGTTTTTCATAAGCATTATGATTTTTTTTAGTAATTGTTACTATTTGAAGGTACTCGTAAATATTATTGTATTGGCAAAGGCAGTGACTGCCTATGACTACCTTCTTTTATTTGATTCTCTTTCTGATAGCTTTGCTTGAAAGGCACTGCAACTCCTTTCTACATTTTTGCCACACGTTTGTTGAAATTTTCAATGCCTTTATAGTGACCCATGACTTCTGCTTCTGGAAGATGGAGTAAATATATTTTTTTCTATTTCTCCCACTAAGTCTAACTAAAACTCTGGACATTATATGTAAAACAAACATAAGGAGACTCTGAACGGTGAAGGGAAGAAGTCGTACCAGCTAGGGACTTCAGGACTCAAAGAGGAACACAGTGGTAAGTGCCTTGGGTTTTCATTTAGCCTTATATGTCCCAAACTGAGGGTTGGAGAAGCCAAAAACCAGAAACCCAAAAATGCCAAAAATCATAGACAAAAAATGCCACAATAAAAGGCTGCTCTCTCTAGCCAAACGATGAAAAAGGGAAAGCCTAGCAAGACAGAAAACATTTGGAAGATATTTGCTCTACAGTAGACAAACAATAAACACACACACACACACACACACACACACACACACACAAACTGCGCCCCCCCCCCCCAAAGCAAAAGCCAGGTGGGAAGCCTAGACTTCCACACTAAATCAAAAATCAGTCATCGTACCAAAACCCAGGAAGATCTCAAACTGAATGAAAAAAGACAATCAATAGATGCCAACCCTGATATGACAAATTAAAATTATCTGGCAAAGATTGTGAAAGCAGCCATCGGAAAAATATGTCAATTAAGACATGCTTGAAATAAATGAAAAAATAATCTCAGAAAAGAAATAGAAAGTATCAGCAGAAACAGAAAATATAAAGAAGAAATAAATGGAAATTTTAGAACTACGAAACGCAGGAAATGAAATTTTCAAACTCGATGAATGAGCTCAGCAGAATGGAGAAAAGAATCAGTGAACTGAAAGATAGAACAATAGCAATTACCTATTCTAAACTACAGAGACCAAATAGACTGGGGAGATAACAGCAAAGCTCAGGGGCTTGTGGTATGACTATAACAAAAGATCTAACATTTCTATTATAAGAATCTGGGAAGGAGGGGAAAAAGACTTTCTCAACAAGGTGCACACTATCTAAACATTTTTATACCTGTTCCCAAGGTATTACTCTTATTTATTCACCTCCCTCCTAGTATGATACTATCTCCCTTGCCTAGATCACTCTGAGTTCCCCGGGTTCCTTCTCTCTCTTTCTTCCTTCCTTCCTCCTTTCTTTCCTTTCCTTTTCCACAAGTTCTAATATCCCTTCTCTACTCCCCACTTTTTAAGACTCAACTCAAATGACCTTCCCGAAAAAGTATTTTTCTGAGTAATATATAAGCAGTTATGAAAATAATTCAGTCTGATTAAGAAACTATATCTAAAGTCACTTGCAAAAACTGTATCAGTTAGCATGAGATTTTACTGAATGAAACAGAAAGTCCAAATGATAGCAATTTGTTTTTTCCTTGCAGAAAAGAAGTCTGGATGTAGGCAGACCAAGGCTGACAGGGCAGTACTGAGTTAATAAAAATCCAGGCTTCTGTTTTTGGTTTTTTTTCCAGCACTGTTTTCTAGCCTCATTATTACTTTATGACCAAAGGTGGCTGCTAGTGGTCCAACCATCTAGTCTGAGTCCCAGGCAAGACTAAAGAAGAGGGGGCAAGCTAAAGGAAAGGAATGTGCCAGCAGACTCTTCTCATTTTCAGAAGCCTTCCTGTAAGTCGCACACTACAACTGCCCTTCCCACTATCTAGAACTTAGTCACTTAGCCATACCCAGCCACAAAAAAAAAACTAGAAATGTAGATGGGGGGGCGCGGCGGAAAGAAGAGTGGATTTGGATAAGCATAACAAGTCTTTGCTCTAGGCAGTTTCTAAAATGTTTTGGAGTACAAAACATAGATAATTGAATTATGTCCCAGTTGACAGTGTATCTAACTATGTATTATTACATTTATTTAAATGGATTAGAGTTGGAGACATTAGTATGGACTCATGCTTCACTTAATATAGATACAGATGTTTATACATATTAATATTTATCAATATGTATATGCACACAGGTTAGTATACACACATTTATCTCCATGCTCTATCGTTTGAGGGAGCCTAGAAGCAATGATACTCCAGCAGCAACAAGCACACCTAGTATTATGTGTTTTCCAGTTCCATATGTCTACCTTTGACTGTGTGGTCAGCAATTCTCTAACCTTGTAAATATGGATTACAAAAGATTATTAAATGTTATAAATCTGTTGATTCTGTCAATAATTAAGATTATACAATCTAATTTATATCCGTAGTTATTTTACTTACCATATGGTCTTCAACATGCACATTCAATATAAATATTTAATCAAGTTAATTAATTATATTTGTTTCCATTTTATAAAACATATCTATTAATAAACATGTCAATGTTTATAAATACTGTAGAGCAATATACTACATAGTTTCTAACATCATGACATTATGGTAACAAGACTGAGTCTTTTTTTTTTTTGGAGACAGATTCTCGTTCTGTTGCCTGGGCTAGAGTGCCGTGGAGTCATCTTAGCTCACAGCAACCTCAAACTCCTGGGCTCAAGCGATCCTTCTGCCTCAGCCTCCCAAGTAGCTAAGACTACAGTCATGTGCCACCATGCCCGGCTAATTTTTTCTATATATTTTTAGTTGTCCAGATAATTTCTTTCTATTGTTAGTAGAGACGGAGTCTCACTCTTGCTCAGGCTGGTCTTGAACTCCTGACCTTGAGCAATCCTCCCGCCTCAGCCTCCTAGAGTGCTAGGATTATAGCCATGAGCCACTACGCCCGGTCACAAGACTGAGTCTTACCTCTTTCAATGATGTCTATGGTGTGAAGATGTTATAAATTCACAAACATCTCCATTAAATTTCATCTTGATAATTTTGTTTCTCAATCATGGACCTGAGGTTCCATAACCTCTGAGAAAGGAAAAATTCAAAATCATGCTTACTTTTTTGCTATTTACTTAACATAGTAGGAAGAATTAACAACATTAGAAAGGGATGTATACAAATGATGACTATTTTAATTCTAATAAAAATAGCATACTAAGTCAGTCTTTGTATCGCCAGTTGTCTTACTCTGTTTTGTGCTGCCATAACATAATACCACAGATGGGG